TGGTTAAGAAATGTTAGCAGGGTTGCCTAAGACCATCGGAAAACGGATATTAACATTACGATTCATTAATAGTAGCAAAATTACAGTTATGAAGTAGCAATGAAAATAATGTTATGGCTGGGGGTCACCACCACAGGAGGAACTGAATTAAAGGGTCGAGGCATTAGAAAGGTTGAGAACCACTGATCTACACTAATGAGTTTCAAACTCTTTTTATCCCAATTTAGAGCAAGAAATACAAGAAAATACAGAGTTTGTGCACAGAAATACTTTTTCTACACATGATGTACTGCAGCGTTTTTCAACCACTGTTCCGCGGCACACTAGTGTGCCACGAGATGTTGCCTGGTGTGCCGTAGGTGCAGACAAGACAAGAATTTTATAATTTTTCACTATTTTGTTTACTTAATATTTCATAATAAAGTAATTATAAAATACTTTCTTTGTGTTTATTTGATTCCTATTCAAGAGAATTACTTTATATATAGTCAATATAGGCACAGAATTAAATTTTTTAACATTTTCTAATGGTGGTGTGCCTCGTGATTTTTTTCATGAAACAAGTGTGCCTTTGCCCAAAAAAGGTTGAAAAACACTGATGTACTGGGTATTTTCTATTCTAGTCTATTTAATGTTTTCAATGTTGGCTGGACTTTCAAACTAATCAAAACCAAGAGGGTGAAAAACCATGAACTACACAGTCAATGTACTGTTAGTAAGTGTCCCAACAGAAAAAAGGTTTTGGAAGAAATTTTTAGACTGCCACAGAATAGTACAATAAAATATTAATCTATACCAAGTTCAGTTATTATATCATAAAATAACCTGGGCTTACTATGTAATATTAATCAAATCCTAGAGATTCTGGGAAATTTCATAAAATTTACAACACATTATGCTATCTGTTTTTGTTTTTTACACTGCTATGTTAATGTATGCCTTGTAATTCCACATGAAATTCTTAAAATTCTCAAAGTGCTAATTCTAGCATCCCTGTTTTCACTCATAAAGCAATAGATCCTTAAAAACAGAAAGAAATGGAAATATAATAGCCACCTCTTAGAGAACATGCTTCTTCCATGTGCCAGCATTATCACTGTACTTATTCACTATTCTTCTTAGAATAGACCAGTGTTTCCCAAAGTGTGGTACGCGTACCCCCAGGGGTGCGGGAAGAGTTTGGTCGGGGTACGCGTTGCACTGGAGTTTGGTGGGGATATGCACTGCACCGTGCTTAGCTGCGCCTAATTCTACGTTCTCATGAGTACAAGGGGTACTCAGCGTTACGAAAATTATAGAAGGGGTACACATATGTCAAAAGTTTGGGAAACACTGGAATAGACTATTAGGTAGTTAGTATAAAGGAAATAAATGCCCAACCTATATTTCTGAGACATTTATAAAGATTCTAACTGATGATTTAAATAAAAATAATTTTAATCCTCTGTATTAAATGAACATGTTGACAATTTGGTATGATTAATAAGCTACTCGGGAAAAGCTAATGATGAGGAACAGCTCAGGTGAAGGACAAAATACTCTCAAAAAGATTTAGATCCTTCTAATCAAGTCATCATCACCTCACGCATGAAAAAAATGTGAATAATCTTTAAGACAACGCTAGTGAAAGGAAAAGTTAAAACTACAGTACCTGCTGATGTACTCTAGTAACAAGTTTATTCACTGTTCAGGTTAGTGTGTTTGTGTATCACTGAACAAGCTGTAAAATTACTGTTATTTAAGGTTAATTTAAGTGAAATGTTACAAAGTCCAAGATTCAGTATCAAAAACCAGATATCCATATATAAATAGAGAGGATGTTTCTTTTGTATTGAGTAACACCATCTAACATATATTTTTTAAAGTAAATCAGTAAAGAATTACCTAAAACTCCAATTTCCCATTTCAAAGTAGAGGGTAGCCAATTCAATGAATAAATTTAGTCATTAGTAGGGAGTTATTTTTACTTCTACAACTCTACTGTAACTTATTCTAAAGTTATACTACTGACATCAAAACTCTAATTTTATGAACATAGAAATCATAATTTTTTCAACAACTTAAAAAACAGAGGAGACAAAACATAGTCTTTCAAGTCTTATGGAATAACTGGGAAATGTATATTATTAACCGTGGAAGTGACCTCTGGCCTTAAGGAGGTCTCAGCCCCTGGCTCTATTGCTTCTGGCTTAATCCCCTCTTCCTCTCTGGAGCGCTACCTCTTCTCTCCCTCCAGCCATCAGCACTGAGAGCAAGGAATGCTGCCAAATACATACATCTCACTTTGAACCATCATTTTCTTATTGTCATGATACTGTAATGAATAAAACACTAACTGTACTAATATACATGGGCCATAATTAGAAATAAAGTGAAAATGATGGAAATAAAGCAAGGTAGAATCTTGGCTGACTTTTCTGTAAAAGTAGCCTGTCATACGCATAAAAATAAAGAATATCTAGATGACACTTTGATTAACATAAATAGCCAAACACAAGTATACAGCATATATTACAAAGAACTTAACTATTACTGCTCTCCTGTTGCAAATATTGGATCTTTTAAAACTCAAACTAAAAAGGCAAATCTAAACTGACAAATTTAACCCCAACAAATATTCCCTGTAAATTTCCATTATAGACCCTCAAAAAGAGTTTAAAAAATTAAACTGAGGTCCAGTCACTACCTAGAAACTTTCTTAATCTAATTGTTTTTATATAATGTTAGGCAAGGAGAAGAAAAAAAAAGACATTTTCTCGAGATGTAGTAATCAATTCATACATGGAGAACAACTGACCTATTTTAATACTTAAATTGCTTGAAGAGACAAATAACCTAAATTCTCAAATAACGTGAAGATGATAAGTCCTATACTGAAGGCACATCTCAACAGCTTCTCCACTCTTCGGTTCCTTTTCTTACTCCTTACCCAAACTTCTGAGGTTGATAATTCCCTCTTTCAAGAACTCATACTCCCAACTTAAAAATGATTGAGACCTAGCAGACACTACCTGGCCCAAAGGTGCAAAAAGTCCTTAAAAATTCTCTGGTTCTCCATCACTGATAAACACAACAGATGTTTACCTAAAAGACTGTACATTTTTGTTATGTCGTATCAGATTTCCACAAAACATGAAACGTATTACTAACACTGAATTTGTTTTAAATTGTGACAAGTCCCTGGTTTAATATACTTTTAAAATATATTAATAAAAATAGAGTGTATTTGGCCAAATGCTTATTTGACTTTTGGCTTGTTTCATTTAAATTAATATGTATAACGAGTTAAAAAAAAAATTAAAAAAAAAAAAAAAAATATATATATATATATATATATATATATATATATATATATATATAAAACAAAACCCAAGGAAACATATTTAATGGAAAACATACATGAATTATTCTGATAATACTGTACAGCAAAATGTCTCAGAACATAAAACTACTACATAAACTCTTAATACAAAACGCAACTGAACATATGGTTTTCTCTTCTTGTGATAATTTTAAAATTATAAATACTATTGGTACATAAAAAGAGTTATTCCACTATTCTGAAGATGAGAAAGAACTAGGATGAGTTCTCAAACTAAAATTCAAGAACTAAAACTCTCAAAGTACCAAAAACTTTTCTTTAAATCTCAAATAAAAATACTCTAAAATAGTTCTAAAATTTCTAAAACATGGGATGTAAAACGACATGTAATAAAATATTTTACTCTGCACATAAAAAAAAAAAAGCAGTACCAGTACCAGAACATACAAAACCAGTACCAAAGTCAAAACTGTCTCCCTCTTCCCAGAGAAGTCACTTGAAAGACGGTTTAGAACTCTTCCATTCCCAGTAAAAGCCTGGTATTCTGTTTTAAAAAACCAGCCTATTCACTTCCTGTGAGCAATCTCAAATGAGTGATTTACCTGCCAAGCTAACGTTTCATAAATTTCAAATTAAAGGACAAAACGAAATAATCACTCGTTGACTTTTACTTCAGGAAAATAAAGCATGCTTGGGAACAAAGACATTCTATATCAAAACTTTCGAACAAACGAGAATCACTAGCTACAGAGGTAACCGGTCCTCCCGTGGCTGAAGTGCCCAGTACAGGTGCGGGCCATGCGAAAGCTGGGCGTGTGAACGGCCTTGAACGTGACACTGGACACAGCCTGAAGGTCACTGGGAGCGCCTGCCCTCGCCGCTGCCCTTCTGCACACAGTGGGTCTCTTAAATCACATCTACACTCCGGAGAACGAAGACAAAACACGAACCATTTGAGATATGAATTACATGCAGAGTCCATCAAACTTCCGGGCAGAAGCTGCTCCCCACATTCTCTCCCAACTACCACCACGAAATGTCTAAACATGTGTGTCACTGATCTTCCAAACATGGCAATTTATGGAAAGCCCATGTTTAGGCGTTCCTCTGCTCGTCCTAAATGGGGATGAAACAGGACCTCCTGATCACCACCTTCCAGTTCCTGTTGACGTCAGCTGTTTTAATATCTCCTCCCATTTTCCAGAGCCATTTCCAAAGTCTGGGAAGGAATGTTTCCACCAATAAATACCTTTGCCTTGGATGTGTTACACCACCGGGGCTCATCCAGGTCTGCCCATCACGGGGTTACTCAAAAGCTCTGACTGCTGACCTCAGAACATGGGTTCTTTCTCGTAAATTCCACATTAATTCGGGGCAACAACTGAGCAGCCCGGTTGTACCCCTGGGAGGATATTCACCAAAAACTCGAAACACTTCTGGAATGATCTGTGCCTATTCTCTTATTGCATCTATCCTTAAATATGATTTATATACTACATACTATGCATTCTGGTGATGTATGTTACATATGCTATATGACATACTTCATACCGCATATTACACGTATGTTTATATACTCAAGAGTTTACTCATAGCAACTGTTAACAATTAAATGACAACCACAAGCTAAAGAGTTGTGGTTTGTGTGTGTGTGTGTGTGTTTTAAATACACACTTACCCCATTCTAGGTATTCCAGAATGTTCTTCTCTCTCCTCAGCGGGGAGTTATTGCACTCGTCGTAGAGGCAGATGAGGATGTCCAGCAGGGTCTCCACGCTGAAGCACTGCCCGTGGGTGCGCGCCGGCCCGTCCAGGATGAACTGCTCCAGCTGCCGCAGGCGCACCTCTCCGGACATGGTGGCCTCGGGTCCCGCCGGCTCCCCTCCCGACGGTTCGCGTCCCCTCGGACCCTCCGAACCCGAACTGCCAAAGGTGCGGTTCCAAAAGCAAACCACTTGTTATTCCGACCACCGCCGTGCAGGGCCGGTGCCAAATGCCACATCCAACGCGCGGCGCTCTCACTGGCCTGGAGCGTCTTCGGTCCCGCGCGCATGCATGTATTCCGGGGGGTGGGAGGGGGGGTTTTACCATAAAATATATATCTGATACATCTTTCAATAATACAATTAAGCCGTATACTTAAATAAAATAATAATTAAAGAGTACAACGAGCCAGAGAGTCCACACTTCTTGGAGGGCGGGGGGGAATCAACAGCTCTTCTCCTTCATTCAAAATTCAGCTCGTGCAACACAATCCCGGTGCGGGCGCCGCTGCATCATTCATTAGCCCGACGCGCACCGGCGGCCGCTCCCGGAGGCGCGGGGCCGGGAGGGAGGAGGGCGGGAGGCCGCCGGGACGGTGCAGGGGGAGGAGGGAGACCGCAAACCCGGCTGCAGCTCCGCGCCGCCGCCGCTGGGCCGGGCTCCGCGGCGCGCGCTCGGGGCGGGAGGAGGAGGGGGCGCCCTGCGGCCCCGCGGCCGCCGCGTCCCCCCGGGCGGCGTTCCGGCCCGCGCTCCGCCGGCTCAAGGCTCCGCGGAGGGTCCCGTTCGCGGCGGATTCGGAGGAAACTTCATTCTCTCCCGGCGTCCCCCCGGGGCCGGGCGGGGGGGCGGGCGGGCGGGCGCGAACGCGGGCTGCGGACGGCCCTGGGCGCCGGGCCGGAGCGGAGGCTACTCGGCCGCCCGCGCCCGCTCCATGGCGGGGTCGCCGCTGGGCCGCGCCGGGCAGGGCGCCGATCTCCCCGCGCCGCGCCGGGGCTCCGCGCCCCGCAGAGGGGGTGCCGCTCGGGCTTCAGAGGGCGCGGGTGGCGGCTGAGGAGGCGGCTGAGGCGGCGGCGCGGGCGGCTCCGGCGGCCGCTTCTTCCCCCGGCTCGCGCCCCCGGGTGAAGGGCATCTTCCCGCGGCGGCGGAGGGAGCGGCGAGGCGCCGGGGGAGGGACTGGAGCGGCGGCGGCGCGGAGAGCGGAGGCTGCCGCAGCCCGGCTCGCGGCCACTCCCTTCCTCCGCCGCCCCCGCCCCCGCCGCCCGGCCTCGCGCCCGCGCCCTGGGCTCCGCGAGGCGCCCGTCCCCGGCGCGGCCGCGCGCATTATCCAATATGGCGGCCGCGCCCCCCTCCCGCGCGCGCGCGCGCCCCGCCCCCTGCGCCCCGCACGCCCCGCCCCCGCCCCGCGAGCCTGCGGACCGCGCCGCGTCCGTCTGCGGCCGCACCGCGGAACGCAGAGATGCGGGAGGACCGGGATTCGGGAGGACCGAGATGCGGGCGGCGGCAGGACCGGGATTCGGGAGGACCAGGCGGGCGGCGGGAGGACTGAGATTTGGGAGGAACTGGCTGGGAGGACCGGGATTCGGGAGGACCGGGATTCGGGAGGACCGAAATTCGGGAGGACCGAGATGCGGGCGGCGGCAGGACCGGGATTCGGGAGGAACTGGCTGGGAGGACCGGGATTCGGGAGGACCGGACGGCGAGAGGACCGGGCGGCAGGAGGACCGGGATTCGGAAGGACCGGGCGCCGGGAGGACCGGGATTCGGGAGGAACGGGCGCCGGGAGGACCGGGATTCGGGAGGAACGGGCGCCGGGAGGACCGAGATTCGGGAGGAACGGGCGCCGGGAGGAGTGGGCAGGCTGGGAGCTGCGCCGCCGCCTCGCGCCCTCCCTGTCCCGGAGCTTCTGGTGCGGGCGGCGGAGCGGGCTTCCTCCGGGGCCTCGGAGGCCCCCTGCCCGCACGTTTGCTAAGGGCCCGCGGCCTTAGGTCCCGACCGGTCTGCACAGAGGGTGCCGCCCCGGCCCCCACATTCGGTCCCGGGCCTCGCCGCAGCCACAGCCGGGTGGTGACAGCCTCTCTGTGTCAGTCCCTGGCGGACACCGGGCCGGCTGGTCCGCGGGCTCCCAAGTGTGAGAGAGGAGGACAGGCCCGCGTCCAGCCCACGGGTCCCGGCGGAGCCGTGCTCCTCCCCCGGGGCTGCCAGCCGCCGGCGGGTCCCGGCCGGGTGCCCCCCCCCCCCCCCCCCCGGGTCCCGCTGCGGGTTCGGCTCTCCTCCAGGAGCCAGACCACACACACACACACACACACACACACACACACACACACACCCAATGGCACCGCGGAAACTGCAGCTGTGGCCTTCCAGGTGGTTCCAGGTGGTTCCAGGCGGGGTCAGTTCTCCTGGAAGGCCCCGCACTTAAATATACTACCCAATGGGGTCATCGCGTTTCTGCCTTTTACCCTCAACATAGTCATCGCCTTTCAAACCTTCCTGCAAAATACAGGGTTGTGGGCACGATCCCCAATAGGGGCCGTGCAGGAGACAGCCAATCCATGATTTTTTCTCATCATTGATGTTTCTCTCTCTCCCTCTGCCTTCCTCTCTGAAATCAATAAAAGTATGTTTCAGTCTATCTGCAAAATACAATTATTTTCTAGTCCTTTCCAACACCCATGGGGCAGTTATGTTTTCTGTGTGAATATGCACAATTGCATCATTTTACATCCGAAGGATATGAAAGCGGAGGGAAAATGAGCAATGAAGGTCTAGAAAGGAAGTCTAAAAATGAAGACTAACAAATGATTCAGGTTGCTGTGATTCACAGAATAGTGTGAATCTTGTGTGAACGTTGGACAGCACTATTTCCAAAGTGCCCCTGACACATGATTGATAGGCTCAGACAAAAGATCAGTCGTTTCTGGCCATGACATCTTTATCAGTGAAAAGTAAAAGGGGGGAAAAAAGCAAAAATCCTAACACAGATAATCATTAATATTTTGGTGTTCATTATTCATCTTTTTTATGCATTTTAACAAAATGATACATAATAAAAGACAGTGTTATAGCTTCCTGTTTTCACTTAGCAATATATTGTAAACATCTTCTCAAGTCAACAAATATTCTTCAATAACATGATTTCTATAGTGAAGCCAAAACATTTTAACACTTTCATTTGACCATGAGTTAGGGTAGCAAAGAAAGAAGCAATTTCTTTTGCTACCTACACATCTAACTTGTAAGTAACTTTAGAAAAGAATTTAAAAGAGAAAACATGTTCAGTCTCCATAAATGGAAGTACAGAATATGAGCTAACAATATATTTCTTCATAAAAGAATCAAGCTGCCAGTCCTTTCTCTGCCTATTCTGTTAGCACTTGGGTACCACCCACAGGCCAGAGTATTTATATTTGCATAATACCCTTTACCACGTTGTTTAGCGAGTACAGAGGAGAACATATTTGAAAAACAAAAACACAAAGAGAAAGAATAAGGTTGAACCCAATCAATTTTGCTTGAATAATTCAAGCCCAGAGACTTAATAATTAACTAGACATGAAACACATTGTGCCGGTGTCACTTTTAATGTTCGGCTGAAGTGTGAACATGCGTGTTAATGAAACTGGTGTGAAGCCAGAGAAAGGCGCAGCCCGTCGCCCCCAGGGCTGCGTGGCGGGGTGTCTTCGGGAAGAGAGCGGGAGGAGGGCCTCTTTGGGACATTCTGCTCGGGGACCGGGGGCATAGATTGTACCCCTGCAAACACAGTTTGAACAATCAGAGGAAAGTCCTATGAGGGCGCTGGGAAGGAGTCTGACCTTCCAGGAAAGAAAGGGCAGGAGAGGACGTAGAGATGGAGAATAGAAAGGATCAGACTGACCAGGCTTCCTGTAGGTGATTCCAATGCAGCTCTCTTCATCTCACCCCCCACTCTGACCTAACAGGAGGATGGGCCCCTCGGTTAGTATTTATAACCAGCTCCATTCTCACCTTGGGGTGTCTTAGTACAGAACAGCTATAGGTTCGATGATGGGGAGCAAGGCCAAAGGCAGGGTGAACGCACGCAGGGCTTCCTGTGTGGTGCTGAGGATGGTTTAGCACAGCCCCTTCCAGCCACTAACACACCCGAAGCTATGAATGCCTGACTTGGCTTAGTACCCCTAAAGCTCTGAATGAATGACTTGGTCTAGTGCCTCCGAAGCTATGAATGTATGGTTTGGTTTAGTACCCCCAAAGCTATGAATGAATGGCTTGGTCTAGTGCCCCCGAAGCTATGAATGAATGGCTTGGTCTAATGCCCCCGAAGCTATGAATGAATGGCTTGGTCTAATGCCCCCGAAGCTATGAATGAATGACTTCGTTTAGTGCCCTCTGAGGATGAAACACCCTTAGGGCATGTCCTCACTTTTAAGTCTGGCTTCTGACATGAGTAATAGCAACAGCGAAGGTTTATTTATGGAGAAAGGCGGCTTTGTAATTAATAATGGCTTTCCTCGCAGAACACTTACAGTGAGTGCAGACTGTCCAGAGTACTTTATTTATTTATTAAATATATTTTATTATTATTTTTATTTATTTATTTTTTTACAGAGAGGAAGAGAGAGGGATAGAGTTAGAAACATCGATGAGAGAGAATCATCGATCAGCTGCCTCTTGCACCACCTCCACCGGGATGTGCCCGCAACCAAGGTACATGCCCTTGACCGGAATTGAACCTGGGACCTTTCAGTCTGCAGACCGATGCTCTATCCACTGAGCCATACTGGTCTTGGCTGTCCAGAGTACTTTAAACACTGTATTCTATTCAACTGTCAGAGCCATGTGAATAGAAACATTATCGTCTCCATGTCATAGATGAGGAAACTGAGAGTTAGGAGGCTCAGGGACTTGGGAATGACCACAAACATAGCAAGTGGCCACACCACGCTGCCCAGGCACGGTGGGAAGTCTTAGCCACTGTGCGGGGTCTGAAAGGTCTGTGGTACCCACCTCTCCCTCCTGGTGTGACTTGGGAGCATGTACCTGTTAATGCACGTATTTGGGCTTTAGAAATTGCTATTGGGGTAGGAGAGGAAAACCCACAGCTGAAGTGTCAGGATCCAGTCAGAAAAACAGAAATCACCTGTGTATTTCCATCAGAGGAACCCTAACTCTGGAAAATGGCTACACAGGTGATCAACCAAGGGAGAGGAGGGGGTCAGCAGCAGCCGCCACCTCCAGCCCCTGACAGCTGGTGGGAACTGGAGCCACAGAGACACGAGGGCTCTGAGGGAGCTGGCTCAGGCCTGAGCGGGGAGGAGAGTCCTCTGGCCTCCACTCTCCCCCCACGTGCCTGTCGCCCAGCTTGTGAGACCCGCACTGTCCCCCGAGGTCCACCGCAAAGCAGGCAATGCAGGAGGAGTGGCTGCCAAGGCAGATGGGCCAAGGATTGGCATTCATAGGATCCACCCAGGTCCCATTTTACTCAGAGAAGATAGATCAATAAAACACACGGTTTCTCTCTGAACGCATGGACTTGGAAGGGGCAGGGTTTTAACACAGGAGAGACTTTCACTCTTCCCTCTTCATATTTTTTATTTTGCTTTTTGCTTTAACCCCTCGCTAAGGTTAAAGAAACCA